TATGGGATCTAGCTATCTTAGCCACTATGCCATTGCATAGCTATTTAATGATCATTTCACAGGATACAAAATTCTGCAGGTTTTTAAGTTTTGTTTTGTTTTTGTTTTCTCTCAACCCTCTTAATTATTTCATTCCATTTTTCGTTTGCATAGTTTTGGAAGATAAGTTGTATATAATTCTTCTCTTTGTTCCTCTATGAATAAGGTTTTCTTTTTTTTAGCTTCTTTCAGGATTTTTTTTCTTTATCTTTGATTTTCTGTAATTTAAAAATGATATGCCTAAATGTAGCTTTTGGGGATATTTATCCTGTTTGGTGTTCTCTCAGCATCCTGGATCTGTGATTTGGTGTCTGGCATTAATTATATGGAAATTCTCAGTTAATATTTGTTTCAAGTATTTATTTTGTTCTTTTTTCTCTTCTTCTGGTAGTCTCATTACATGTATGTTACACCTTTTGTGGTTGTCTCACAGTCCTTGGATATTCTGTTCTGTTTTTTTCTTTGTTATCTTTGCTCTTCAGTTTTTGAAGTTTCTATTGATGTATTCTTGAGCCAAGAGATTCTTTCCTCAGCCATATCCATCTACAATAAGCCCATCAACAAAGGCACTCTTTATTCTTGTTACAGTGATTTTGATCGCTAGCATTTGGAGGAGAAGGAATTCTTTCTTTGGGTTTTCATCTTTCTGCTTATATTTCCCACTATTCTTACATACAGTCTACTTTTTCCATTAGAGCCCTCAGCATAATAATCATAGTTATTTTAGATTCCTCATTTGATAATTCCAACTTCCTTGCTATGTCATTTCCCAGTTGCTTTCTTTGTGAGGCAGAGACTGGGAGATAGAACAATAGAAAAATAACTGGTTAACATCAGGCTACCTTTCAGTCAAGGATTAAAGGAGAATCATGTCAGTTCCTTATTTGGGGAATTTGACTGTTCTCAATCATTCTCCTTATTTCTCAGAAAGTCAGGTAAACAGCTTAGTTTTGGCTCAGTGACATGGAACTTTAGCCCAAGTGACTCCATTTTGATTTTTAGTCTGCTCCATTGGAACCTACTGTAGGAACTCAGTCCAAAACAGTGGCTTCCAATCATTTTTATTTAACACTTTTGTCACTTGGGCTTTTGGTGCTATGTATAAAAAGCTCATGAACATGAAGTTTACACCTGTGTTTTATTCTAAGATTTGTATAATTTTAGCATTCACTACTTTTTGGTCTGTGACCCATTTTGAATTAATTTGTGTGTGTGGTGTGAGGTAGTGATCTGGCTTTCTTCTTTTGCCAGTTTGTTAAAAACACTCCCTCCAACCCCTTCTCCCACTGAATTATCTTGTCATCATATATTACTTTTAATGTGTAGATCTCAGACCCTAGTTTGAGACTATCACAGAACATCCAGGTAGCTCTGAACTCTTGTGATTCATCAGATTCCATACCCTGGTCAATCCTTATGGGGTTTAGGCATCATCTACAAACTTAAGGAGTTGCCTTAATGAGCCAAATCTTCATTTACCCACAGAAAACTAAAAGTGCCTAGAAGGTCCTGGTTGTGTTCCCTAATGTCAAATCAAAGTTCTGGTAGTTCCAAAGCACCTCAGCCTCTTATGTCTATAAATTGTAAGTCTATCTATATCAATTTTTAGTCAGTTCTTGAGTTCTTCCTTTCCCATTTAACAGATTAATGAATTGCATGTAGTTAGAATTGTCAAAAAACAGAATTACAACAATCTGGTTTAAAAATCTTAATTGGCCTTATTCATGATTCTAGAATTAAGCAGCAATTTATTCCGTAAAATAGAATAAGTGTTCCAGTGAACTGAGCAGAGGAATTGGTCTTGTATACAGAGGGCTGAAAAAGGCAGAAACAAACCAAAAAAAGCAGATTGGTTGTTTCAAAGTAACTTCCTTTGTGAAGTAGAGACAGGGACGTAGAATAATAGGAAAAGGACTGACTAGTTAACATCAAGTTACTTTAGGTTACTTCTTTTGTGTGTGTTAAACTGAGAGAATTTCGTTATCATGTCATTGAAACTGGCCTGTTCTGGAAAATAGTCTGTTATCTCTCTCCTGTTTTCTGGGAAGTCAGATAAGTTACCTTTGAATTGGTGACATAGTCAAATGAATGACTTCATTGTGATTTTCATTCTGGTCTCTTGGATCCTAAAACAGGAGTTTAATTCAAAACAGTGGCTTCCCATAATTTTTATGTAACAACACCCACCTAAACTTTCTCTTACCAAGTTTCCAAATATATTTTGAAATTCAAGCAATTTTCTAAATTTTCTGTGCTAGTGGAAAGAGAAAGTATAAAACCATAAATATGAGTTAATAGCAGGCAAATCAATTTCTTCATGGTTAGGGAAGTTGAATTTGGTTTTGGAGAAGCACACTACCCCCTACACATGGTACTGAGGAGCTATGTATCTAGCGTTCTAAAGCACAAGAAGACCATGATGTACCTTAGAGAAAATATGTGTAGTCAGAAAGTTTCTTTGAAGCATGAGTTTTAGCTCTGTGACCATAAGATCAACGTTAACAAATCAACTGTATGCTAAATAAGTTATTTTTAAACAGAAACACCAAAATCGAAGTTATATATTGATCAGTTGAAAATGTTTCAGGAGCTCACAGGAACCTAATCCTGAATATTCTTTAGAAGCAGTAATTCAACAGTAGCAAATTCATTGTTCATAGCAACTTTATAGACTGTAACTACCTCAAATAACAAGAATTAAATGTATTTGTCATATAATGGGTATTAACAGTGGTTGCCATGGATTTTATCAGATCGGTTTTTATACCATGTACAATGGTTTAATTTTACTTTTAAGTTGTAAGCTATATTTATTATTTTATGTGTTTATATATGTAATATTTAGTCATATTTCATGTAGTCATATATTTATGCATTATTTATAAAATATTTTAGGATTGAAAAAGAGCATTTAAAAGACTTATGTAATATGAAACAGTAAAATACTTAAAACTATATTTATATATTCTTGTTAAAATTAATTTTTACTTTAATAGCATTTATTCAGTTTCATCTGATTATTAACTTTAAAATGTATTTGATTTCAAGAAATCATAGTTCCAAAGATAGGAATTTATTTTACTAAAAACTAAGTAAACTATATTTACTAACTCTAATCTCTCTAAAAAATATATTTTAAGTCACTCTAACATTGAACCCCCTGGGATGTCTTTGTCGTAAAGACTTTGAACTCATCTCAGATTTAAAATGTTTCTATGGGAACTCTACTGGCTTCCATGCCTAATAGGCTTCTTGTGTATAGTTCTTAATTCGAATTGATTGGCTTATGATACTTGTAAGCAAGGAATATCTTATTAGAATCAAGTGGAGGGGGGCAGCAGGTAGAGTGGTAGTGAGGCTCTGGGCTCCCACATTGTCGATTGTGGTTTGAGTCCTGGACCTGGCAGCTGCTTTCTCACTTTTCATCTCTCTCTCTCTCTCTCTCTCTCTCTCTCTCTCTCTCTCTCTCTCTCTCTCTCTCTCTCTCTCTCTCTCTCTCTCTCTCTCTCTCTGGTGAGCGCACATGCCATACTGCAAATTTAAAATAATAATAACAAAATTAAATCATTTTTTTAAAAGAATCAAATGGGTGAATTACTTGTATTTAACATGTGATGGGATAAGTGAGAAGAGAAGAAAAAGACTCAGGTTGATTCAAAAGCAAAATGAGAAAAAAGATCATTGGCAGAGTCTTCTTTCTTCTGATCATCCAAATACTGGACGAAACAAATTGGAGACTTGTCTTTGAACAGGAAGTAGATGTGCTGAGCAGCATATTCTTACTTAAGGTGTTTTTTTGAACCGTTTTATCTTTAGATACTGATTTTTGTCTAGAAGAAGGTGTTGGGGCTACTAAAATGGAACTCATAACTTCAGTTTTGAACTTGATTGAAGTCTCCTTGATGCCTAGTGCTTTATGCTATATCAATGCCAAGAAATAAAATTTTAAAACTCCTGTCAGCTTTAGACAAGCTGTTCTTCTAGTGCAGAGTCAATTCTAATTTAGATTTTTAAGAAACAAGGAGAAAACTTAATTCTCGAAGAGCAATTGTTGGCACGACCAGCAGATGACATAATGGTTACATCACTGGACTCACACATAGTCAACCATGGTTTGAGTCTCAGAACCACCTCCTAGGGAGGTGATTTCTCACTTTCTGTCTCTCCACCAATCGCACACACCCTAAAGCAAAAATCTCTAAAAAGGGGAAAAAAGAATGTTGACTAAGCCAGGCTTTTCAGCTTCCTGGTTATTTGTCATTTAGCAATTATATGGGAAAGTGTTTGTAAGCTATAAAACAGAATATTAATGGTCATCGTTATTTCTTCTCATTAAAATGTGAATTTTGTAAAAAGTCATTTTTATTCCTTATTTTATTTAGTATAAATATCTGTTAAGCCACATTTCATGCTAATGGATATTGAGCATATGGGCAGTTTTTTTTGTACTTCATAATCTTATAAAATGTTTTCCGTCAAGTGTCTCTTATGAAAAGCTTTGGGGGCCAGCAGGTGGTGTGGTGGTTAAGGCGCTAGACTCCCACCTGGCTGACTGTGGTGCAAGTCCTGGACAGCAACTCAGAAATCATACCAGGCATATGTGCATGTGTGCTCAAAATCTAGAGAGGAGAATGGAGCAGAAGGGATTGTGACGTGACCATTCCCTCTGGGGGATGATTTCTCACTTTCGCTGTCTCTTTCTGTCTCTCCAGTGAGTGCACACACCCTAGGGCAAAAACCTAAAAAAAGAAAAACTCTGAAAGGTAAATGAAAATCGTAATTTTGTAGATGGGAAAACTGAGGCACAGAGAAGCTCTTCCCCTGCTTTCTGGTTAGGACATTCACCCCGTACTTTGTTTCACAGGTTTTCTGCTTTATTTTTCTTTTCTCTTTTTAAATTCTCTGCCTTCATGCTATAGGAAACAATTTAAATTTTGCAACAACATGTTTTTCTTCTACAGAGATATTCCAATGCCTTTAGTCAGCTCTGGAGTAGAGCATGGTAATTTGAGAGAGCTGGCATTTGCGAGAATGAAAGACCTTGGAATACAGGTAAGCACAAATATGGCTGGCAGACAATAACTGTTGAAAAAACGTAGTCTGAAATGCCAAAAACTTTGGTACCATCACACTTTTAAACTAATCTTACAAGTCAGATCAAAAAGCTTTCATATATTGAAGGCATTCTTACTATGTTAAATGCTGAAGTTGAAGCCTGTGGTGACAGAAGCTGCATCCAATCCCTTTAACCTCTTCTATCTTCTACCAAAGAGTATAGGTTTTTCAGTTTAATGGTTATTTTATCCACCTACTCGAGTTGCCTACAGTATCTTCAACTCTCCTTTTTAATTAAGTATTTTTTTTGGAGCTGGACAGTGGTGCGAGAGTAAAATACGATGCCTTGTGAGGCAAACCCACCCAGGAAGGTTCCAGTTTTGTAACTGGAGAGTATGCTGGGCACATATGTACCAGTGATCAAGGGCTGGCTAAAGCTGGGAGTGGATCTTGGCATCAAGACCCTGGTTGGGGGTTCTATCTATCTGCCTGTCCTTTCCCTCACTCAGAGAATAAATGAATACGTAAAACTTTAAAAAAGTAAACATTTTTGGAGGGTCAGCAGATAGCATAGTGGTCAAGGTGCTGGATTCCCACACGTCCAACATGGTTCAAGATCCAGATCTGGCGGCTTGCTTTCTCAGTTTCTCTCTCTCTCTCTCTCTCTCTCGTCAATTTTTTAAAATAAATAATAATAATAAATTTACAAAATTAATCTCTTTTTTAAAAAAAGAAAGAAACATTTTTTCTTTTAAGGTATATTCAGATGTGGTTCCTCAAAAGTAATTGTCACCATTTGAAGAGACAAGAATTATATGTATGAAATAATTCTAGACAATAATATTGCCCCATGGCCCCATCCTACCCCACCCCCCATGTCTATTCAAGTCACTTATTTCACAGATATTTACTAAGTACTTCCTCTCTGCTGGCCCTGGAAATACAAAGCCCAGGATTCTACAGTAATCTCCATAGGTGATTTGTAAGTTGTAATAAGGCTTGAAACATAGAACCTGGAAACTTCTTAGAGCAGCTGAAGAGATCAGCCAGGGGTGGTGTCTAGCCAGGGCACTGACCACCATCTGCCTTCACAGATTCCAGGTTAGTAAGTGCGGAGGGGCCGTGGCATCTGCTTTATCCACCACTGCATATGTAGTTCTCACAGCTCAAACACAGACCACACCTTGAAAGATGTTCTGAGGATCACGTATTATGTTGTGGACTTACCTAAGACATTTGTTCCCACTCAAATGATCTTACAGAAAATTTCTCAGAAGACTATCCAGAGGGACAGTTTGTGAACATTATTGGTTTATTCTACCAATTTTTTTTTTTTAAAGGAATGGACAGATTGTAAGTTCTAGAAAAACAGCCAATGCACTTGGCAATAGTCAACAGCACCAGACTAGATTGTATGCCTGCTCTGTTTCCTCACCCCCTCATCTTTGTTCCCCATTTTTTCTGGTCCCTGCAATACCACAGCTAAAGTGACAGACCAGTCCTGGTTATCCTGCTTTTCCATCCATCTTCTTTAACTCCGCATCCCTCGTAAACTTTGTTATCCTTTATTAAAGTAAACTGGGATTGAGTCTCAAGGCTGGAATTCAGTCACAGCCCAAAATTGTCTGGTTCCCATAGGCAACATCTTAATCAAAAAGTGAGCACACTAATCTTTGCCTTTAAAAACACATGCCAAAAATTTTTAAAAAGGAGAAGCAGAATATAAGCATTCATTAAGGATGTGTAACTATAATACATTTACATTTAATAGATCAGTAATTGCAGAGATTTATGGTCCTTGTTTGCAATACCGTTTTTGTTGACTAGAATTTATGGAGATCAACATTAGCAAAGTGTTATCTTGGGCTAGTTCCTGTGCCATGGAAATAGCTGGGGTTTTTTCTTGTTGTTTTGGATCTTTTTTTTGCTTTTTTTTTTTTAACTGAATAATGAACTCTTGTTTTTATTATTTCATGGAATTCTATACTTATATAATAATCCTTTATAAGTAAACTATTAGTGGAATACAGTACATTGCATGATGCCATCATATTTCCCAGAAAGAGCTTCTGTCACTGGTGGAAAATACTAAAAACCCTGAAAATAATGTTTATGGCTTGTTCTATAAAGGAAAATATACCATAGGACAAATAATTGAATAGTGTAAGGATTCTGAAGTGTGAACACCAGGTTGGGGAATAAAAGTTAAGAGTTGAAGTGCAGATGTCCAACAGTGCAGACCATCATCTGTAGGCAGCTCTGGGCCTCCTGGGGTATTCAGAGCCCCCTGTGAGTGTAGTTGAGATGTATAATATATGATTCTAGGTTCCTTCCTTCTTTCATTCTTCTTCCTTCCTGCCTTCTATCCTTTCTCCCTCCCTTCCTGGTCTTCTCCAAGGAAAAATACAAAAATAGCCATCTTCACCACGGTTCGACTCCTGGACCTGGCGGTTTGCTTTCTCACTTTCTCTCTCCCTCCCTCTCTCTTCCTCTTTCTGTCCCTCTCTAGTCAAATTAAAAAATAACGTTAAATAATTCTTTAAAGAAAAAAAGAAAAGAAAAAAATTTTAAAAAGCCATCTTGCAGCATGCATCTTTTTTGACATTTTAAAAATGATGCTAATTTGGCAATGCTAAACATGTTAACTGTCATAAAGTGGCCTTTCAAATATAGGAATTTGCTTTTTACTCTTCTCTATAGATAATTTGGGGTTGTACTTTCAGGTAATTAGATCCATCCCTTGGGCAACACTGTTTTCTAATTTTATGGTTTATGTTCTTTACTCTTAAGATTATATTTTGGTCTCTTTTGAGTTCTAAATTTATTTTAAAGGCAGTACTGTATTATTTCATATATTTCCATTCTGGTTTCTCCATCCTCAAATTTATTAGAGGTGGTTTCTTTTGAAGTCAGTTACTTTATCTTAATGTGAATTAAATTGTGAGCCCAGGTTTTAGTGAAGAGGTTTAAAGAATCGAAATTGTGGACATGGTGGTGTTCGCCCTATGACAAGAATCGAAATGGTTACCAGTTTACATTTGTTTCCCTTCTGCCCTGTTTTTCTTTCTTTTGTTTACTTATTTTTCTCAACAGTGTCGAGATGTGAGAACCAGAGAGGTTGGAATTCAAGAGATTCATCACAAAGTTCGACCGTATCAGGTTGGTTTCTCCAGTGTATAAAGAGGTTGGGTCCTGTCCTTTGTTCTTTGTCTAGCCTGAACCCATACCTTCTTACTGATAGGAATGATCCCAAAATGTGAAGGAATTAATAAGAGCAGAAAATAATTAAGGATTAGATACAGATGGTAAGCCAAGAAAGCCAAAATAAGGACGACTGAGGGACCAGCAGTTGGCGTAATGGCTATGTCGCTGGACTCCCATGTAGTCGACCGTGATTCAAGTCCCAGACCCAGTGGCATAAACTCATGCCAGGTGCATGTGCATGCATGCCAAAGATCCCGAGAGGAAAATGGAGGAGAAGGAGTTGTATTGTGGTCACCCCCCGGGGGGTGATTTCTCGCCTTCTGTCTCTCTGTTTGTCTCTGTCTTTCTAGTGAGCGCATGCGCCCTATAACAAAAACCTCCCAAATAAATGAAATAAAAATGACTGAACTTAAAAGAACCAGATTAGGGAGACCAAGTCTGTACCTCATTCTAGATCATCATTGTCCAATGGAACTTTTTTGGAAATATTTTATAATCTGAGCTGTCCAGTATGGTACCCACTAGTCACACCTGATTATTGAGTGCCTGAATTGTGGCTAGTACAAATGAGAAACTGAATTTTTAATTTTATTTCATTTTAATTAATTAACATTTGAAGAGTCACCTATGACTAGTAGCTACCTTAAAATAGAGCATGCTATGATCTGTTTATCTGTTTGTGTATAACTATTAAACCATCACCCATTGGTGATAATCACATGAATAGATACCCCTAATCAACAGGAGTTTCACAAAAATTACGGATAATGCCCTAAGGCATTCATTGCCAATAAAAACTTTAAAAACTTCATGGAGGACCAGCTGAAACCCAGTGGTTAAGTCTGTGCTTTGGGACTGGATCCCACATAGTTCACCATGCTTCACAGTTAGAATCCCAGCTCCGGTGACTAGAAGAATACACTGGGCACATGTGCACAGATGCCCAAAATGCAGTCAGAATGGAGAAACGGAAGAGAAGAGATTGTGGCATGACCGTGCCCATTTAGGGAGTGCTTTCCCTCTCTCCCCCTCTCTCCCCCTCTCTCCCTCTTTCTTTCTCCCCTCCCCTCTTCCTCATCCCCTCTCTCTCTGGCATTGAGCACAAGTTATTTTGGCATAAAAATTTTGAAATCCATGCATAGTTTTTTGATAATATGTATTTTCCATGAACTTTTTAAATACTCCTTGTACTAATAGTCTTGGTTTAGCTGCTTCAGCCCCAATCACATTAGTGGATCTGAATTGTAAAAAATTAAATAATATATCCCTTAAAAATAAATCACCTAGAAGGTTATTTCACGCTAATTTTTTCTAATACTTTAGCATTAACTTATAGACAGCTCTATTTTTACTTTACTTCATATGTTACTCTGTGAGAGGTCTTTAAAATTTTTTATAACTAGAGAGAGGGTATTTTTGAGAGGGTCTTACCATGTCACATTTCTCTAGCCTGAATCTTCCAGTTAGCTAAGATTACAGGTGTGCACTACAGTGTCCAGCCTGTTTCAGATTGGCCCAGGAACATAATAAAGTAACATTTATTTTATGTAACTATGGTATCTTGCATCTGGGTGTGACCATGTCCACACACCCACATACCTAACTTTTCTCATTGTTACATACTGCTCATGATTATGCAGAGTACAAGAACCATTAAAGTGTACCATGAACTAAACAGTGAAAAGACTATATAGATTGCTACCACAAAAGCTACACCCAAAAAGTTACTATCCAGAGATTGGATTTTCTTTAATATTTTTATCCAATAATTAAGCCCAGTTTTAAAAAACATCTTGCCAGAGAGTATATGCACCCACTGGATACAGCGAGAGGGAAAGAAGAGAGAGAGAGAGAGAGAGAGAGAGAGAGAGAGAAGGAGCATGCCCCATGGGGATTGGTCACATCACAATTCCCTTTTCCATTTCTCTCTTTCATCAAGATTTTGGGCATATACACATACATACTTGGCATGTTTTCAAGCCCCTGGGTCTAGAAATCAAATTGTGTGGTCGGCCATGCAGAGTCCAGCCACCTTACCCACCATGCCATGGGCTAGCCCAAGCATAATATGGGTTGTTGGAAAAGATATGACCTATTTTTTCAAGTGTCCTACAGTTTCTTTCTTTCTTTCTTTCTTTCTTTCTTTCTTTCTTTCTTTCTTTCTTTCTTTCTTTTTTTTTTTTTTTGGTGAGGGGAGCCTTTTGCTATGGGATTACATGTACTGGCCAGAGATACAGAATGAGACAGAGAGAGAAAGCAAGAAATCACCCCCAGAGGGGGTGGCCATGCTGCAGTCCCTTCTCCATTCTCCTCTCAGAATTTTGGACTTGCATACACACACACTTGACTTGAGTTTCAAGCTGCCGGGTCCAGAACTTGAACCACAGTTGGCCGTGTGTAGTCCAGCACCTTAACTATTATGCCACCTGCCAATTCTTACAATAGTTTCTTATGATACTATCAGGGAAAAATCCCATCAGGGAACAAGTTACCAGTGTCACATTTTTTCCCCAAAAAACAGGATTAGTAGAGTAGATAAAGAGTAGAAAATGAAACGTTGAGGACCTGACAGTTTGGGTACTCCTAAGAGCTACACATCTGTGACATAATTTGTTGTTTTACCTTAGAGACATGAATTTTAACTTCGACCCATGGAGAGTGAAGGATTTAAATACGTGAAAGCATTTACTGAGCTGGATCTCTGTGATAATTCCAAGGTTAATGAAGTTCAAATATTTGCAGAATTATAAAATTGTTTTCTTTTCATGATAGTTCACGAACGAGGCATGGACCCTTGTGTAATCTTGATGCAATTTGAGAGTAGACAAGTAAAAAAGAAGCATAATTAGTGATTATTCATTCTTTATCCCTTACTGTGCATATTAACCTAAATAAATGCATACAGTTACAAAAACAAACTTAGTTCATTTAAAAAATATTTTTTGTCTTTTTACAGGTGGAATTGGTAAGAAGAGATTATGTTGCCAATGGTGGCTGGGAAACATTCTTGTCATACGAAGACCCAGATCAAGACATTTTGATTGGCCTCCTGAGGTTACGAAAGTGTTCAGAGGAAACTTTCCGTTTTGAACTGGGTGGAGGTGTTTCCATAGTCCGGGAGCTGCATGTGTATGGAAGTGTGGTCCCTGTGAGCAGTCGAGATCCTACTAAATTTCAGCATCAGGTATCCAGTATTCAATTTTTGTTTGGTTTATAATTTTAAATTGCCCAAAATAGGAAAAGAGGGAATAAGGAAGGGAAGAGACATAGTAAAGGAAAAAGAGAAGCATAAAAACAGAAGAATCAATGTTTTAGTTGTTTAGAGATGTTTTTCTCTCCAAATTGCACCCTTTGGGATGTGAGGGAGGGATAAACTGCATGAAACTTAGTCAAAGGGAATATATACAAGATTGAACCATATGAAATAGCTATTTTTTGAAAATCAGAAAATATAGCAGCTTCATATGAGTCAATTTATTATTAAATCAAATGAGGCGATATGTGAAAGCACTTATGAAATAGTAAAACACTTTGTAAATGTAAGCTATATTAAATATGATATATATTTTTATATATTATATATGTGTTTTTTATATATATTTATATATGTGTGTGTATATATTTATATATATGTGTGTGTGTGGATGTAATGTTCTACTGACCACTGTCCTAACCCCCAGATAACCTAAAATAAATAACTCACTTTTTAAAATTTCAGGAAAATGTGTTAAAACCACTGATGGTACATAGAGGTTAAGCCCCCAAATTGATCATTTAAGAATCTTGCCTGGTTTCCAAGCTCTTTTAGAGGGGTGATTCTAATAAATAAATGATTTGATACTCCAGTCTTTGTCTGGAATTTGTCCAGAAAGAGAGAAAAGTTGAAAGGAAATTACCCCCATGTGACTAGATCATCCACAGAATGACTTCCTGTAGCTCTTGTTGGAAAATTAATACTCTTTCCCCTCGTCTGCTCCTTAGTATTTTTGGTATAATTGAGTGGTTTCTTTTTCCTTATACCCATGAAAGACTTTCTGTCACTCAGAGTTTACTAAATGATAGCATTCTTTTTTTTATGGGCCCCTCTTTGGTTGATTTTTCCCTTTCTTAATTCTCTACCCCCCTTCCTTGCTCCTTACAGGGGTTTGGCATGCTGTTGATGGAGGAAGCAGAAAGAATAGCTAGAGAAGAACACGGCTCTGGGAAGATAGCTGTCATATCAGGTAACTGGGGAAGGGCGAAGTTCACGACTCATTCTCATTTTGATCTTGGTACCATCAACTCTCTTGCTCTCTATATGATTATTATGTTCAAAAATGGACCAAGCTGACTAGTGAAGGACTTGTGCTCAGACACAAAGATTCCTGAAAGCAGTTGGGTGGGATAGAGCTTTCAGAGCACTCTTTCTTTGTTTTCCCATTACACTCTACATTCCTGATGCTAAACTAGAACTTCAGAGGAAATAATTTTTACTGAAAATGAAAGTTTAAATGAGGATTTAAAATGAGGCTTTAAAAAGAAAAAAAAGTTAATATGTTGTTGCCAGTCAATAAATCGATACTTATGCCCAGGTCTGAATGATTATAATTATAAAAATGTAATGACTCAGGCTCAGTTAATCATCATAATCATGATCTGATAGTTTTGGATATTATCCAGATTTATAAAGCATATTTTAACATGCCTAGCTTTATGTATTTTCTGTTGTCTTTAGTCTCACAAAGAGGTAACTAAATGAGGCTCACCTAATTGATACTGATATGTAATAAAAATGTTTATCTCCACTGTTTAACCTGTGATTGACTAGAAATACCAGGAAAGGGCCAGCCTGACTTAGAACCCATTCCTCCAAGTGTTTCTGTATAGAGTCAATGAACACTTGAAATTCCGCGGTCCCTTTGCCATAACCCCCTTAGTGTTTTGAGTAAGTTATTTCTGAAAGTTCAATGGAGATCTTGTTAAAGTACAGACTCTAACTTGTTAGGTCTGGGTGCAGCCTGGGAGCCTACATTTCTACCCACCTCTTGGGTGAGAAGTATGCTGATTGTCTTCAGATTACACTTTTAGATGTTAGTACTCTTCCAAAAATAGTGTACTCTTCCCAGTCATTAAGATAACTCTCTGTGATGCTAGAAGTACCATACTCCCAAAGTCTGATGTACAGTCACGTGATATCCTGGAGTCTGTGGGAACATAATCAGTTTTTTTTTTTTTTTTGGAGAGGTTTTCGCTATAGGGCACGTGCGCTCGCCAGACAGACAGAGAGAGACAGAGAGACAGAAAGCGAGAAATCACCCCCCAGGGGGGATGGTCACGCTGCAATCCCTTCTTCTCCATTGTCCTCTCGGGATCTTGGGCACGCACGCACACGCACCCGGCGTGAGTTTTAAGCCACCAGGTCCGGGACGCGAACCGCAGTCGACTACGTGGGAGTCCAGAGACATAGCCATTACGCTAACTGCTGGTTCCTGGAACATAATCAGTTTAAAACTGAAGAGTGTCCCCATTCTATCACAGTTCTGTTATTCCATTTACCTTCATGACATCTATCTCTTTAGAAATGTTGCATGCAAAGAGGGCCTCTGACTTGCCTGAGGTCGTATCCAATTGTTCGTAAGAGCCCTGGCTTCTGCTTTTTATGAGCAGGGTGTCTTTCTAAGTGGAAGTCGGCATCTGTGCTCTTTGTAGCTTTATATCATAATCTAAATAATAGCCCAATTACAGATCATTTGCATGTAAAATTTCAAAAGACTTGCTCAAAGTCACAGGGAAGAACCTCTCTCCTTGTCAGCCAGCACAGTGGGTCTTCTCCATTTCTCTGTGGTGGGGGAGGCATTCCTTTTGGCCAGTGGGTTTCTATAGAACAGCCCTGGAAGGCCTTCTCAGGATGAGAATAAATTCCTTGGGAGGAAGATGAATGGTTACATCCCTTCACCCTAGCAGGAAAACCTCACCATCGCTCGCTGTAAGGGAAACCACATAAGACCTTGCCTTTCTATTTGACTCAAGCTCTGATCACTTTTCAAATGAAAAAAAAAAAAACTACATTTACTGTGTAGGTGATGCATTTTATTTGTCCAATTTAGTAAGTTATTACTGTTCTATTTAAGTTTCTGAATCAGACACCCGAGATGTTTTCAGCTGTGGCTGGGTCAGCCGGACCTGATCAAGAGGGCAGAAACTTTTATCTTTCTCGAGCACATCTGCTTTCTGGTTTTAAGGCCCTCTGGTCTCTGGTCTCTGCAAAATCTCAGCAAAACTATGATTAGGTTTTAAACGAGAGTTTTTGTGCAAAAGAAAGACAAGCTGAAGGACAGTCTACAGCATTTTAACCTATGGTGTTGGATTCAAATGAAGTTACTTTAGTTCTTCACTTAGCCCCATTATGGTGTAACAGTGTATTTGCACATGTGCATGTATTTTAATTGGTTTTTGTAAAAAAGAAGTTATTCTCCGTAAGTTGATCCTCAGAATGAAAATCTCTTTATGCTAATACTGGTTTTTATAGTCTGCATTTCTTTAGCAGTATTTCATTAGACATAGTATATAGGAAGAGAGGCTGGCAGAGGACAGGCAGATTGCCAAGATTTCACTTCTGCTTTGCCGGTAGCTCTCCTTGTGATACTGGACAGTTTTACTTGATTCCCCATAGGCCTTTATTTTTTCATTAAAAATTAGTGTGTTAAGTTTTGTTTTATAGTTTTAAGTGTCTAGAATGCTACCCCTTAATATTTTAGCTTTTGTAGCCAGCAGGTGATGTGGTAGTTAAGGGCACTGGACTCCCACATTTCCAACCACGGTTCAATTCCCTGACCTGGTGGCTTGCTTTCTCACCTTCCATCTCTCTCTCTCTCACTCTATCCCTCTCTGATCAAATTTAAATAAATTAAATAAATAAATAATGTTCAATAAAATAATTCTTTTTTAAAAATGTTAGCTTCTTTAGCTTTCACCATTACCAATTAATGTTTTACTCATTACATTTGAAGTAGATTGTTTTCCAGTACCTTATTAAGAGATTCTTTCATTTCAACAATAACTGATCTTGGTCTCATTGTAGGCTAAGTGATGATAAAGTTTCCCAGGTAGTTAATTCTGTTCTTGGTTTGTGAATGCATATTAACTTTTTTCTTAACTAGTGGTACTTACTGACCTAAGTGTCCTATTTTTTTTTTTTTTCTGAACTTGTTCTCAATGTGTAAATCCACTCTTATTCTGGGTCTGTAGGATTTTGTATAAGTCATCCACAGTAGTGGCCTCCATATTCTGTCCTGGTATAACTGGTAGCTTGAGTAAGGAAGAGACAGAATCATTTATCATTTTGGTTCCTCTGACTATAAGAGTAATGAATTTATGTAAAAATATTTTTTAATTACGTTGTGATTCATTGTGACTTCCCTTTGTGTTGCCAGCAGATTTTCTGCACTACTTGGATTTATAATCTTTGATTCTGCCTGTAGACAATATTATTAATGAGAATAGATTTATTTGAATCACTGGTCAAAAAGATTACTGTATTTTTTCCCTATTAAGAAAAAAAAAAACATTGTTTTTTATCTGTTACCCCCAATATATTTTGTTTTTAAGTACACAGTGTATTTTATACCTGATTATCTTTTAAGAGATTAAGATTACCTTTACAGCTACATGAGAAAATTGAAAACATCCTTATTCATCAAAGTCAAATGAAGCACTTTCTTCAAGAGGCCTTTAAGTTTACTAATTTTTTTTTAAATACTTATATTGTCTTAGTAAACTGTCTTTTAAAGTTAACCATCAACTCTAAATGTGAAAATAAAGTGAAAATGAAATGTCTAGCTTCATCAACATCAAAATCTTAAGTAGATTGAAGGGACAGAGGGTCCTCAAAACGTCATGGATAATGTGTTTTATGAAAAAACTATGTATCTCAAAAAATGTTTGCACTGGGACCAGCAGTTAGCGTAATAGCTAAGTCGCTGGACTCCCACGTAATCAACCGCGGTTTGAGTCCCAGACCCAGTGGCTTAAAACTCATGCTGGGCGCGTGTGTGTGCGTGCGTGCCCAAGATCCCGAGAGGAGAATGGAGGAGAAGGGATTGTGGTGTGGCCATTCCCCTGGGGGGTGATTTCTCGTTTTCTGTCTCTCTGTCTCTCTCTGTCTGGCGAGCGCACGTGCTCTATAGCAAAAACCTCTCCAAAAAAAAAAATGTTTGCACCAAAATAAATTTGTACTTCCATATTTTTCCACAAATGATTTGAAGTTTTTTTTGTATGAAATGAACATACCTTCCAGGAATGTTCATATTGGACTGGACAATCAATTCAGTCTTGACCCCATTGATTGTCCTCAATGGCAAGGAAAATAAGATTTCTCCCTACTTCAACGTTGGATTCTCAATTCCGGATTCACTACTTCAGAGTAAGAAAATATTTTTCTACATATAACAATGGGTAAATTGGCATTAAAAGAGCAACCAATTTATAAAATGTGTAGGCAGGAAATAACAGTTAATTGCTGCTAAATATCTAAGCAATTAATCCCTCTTTAGTCCAAAAGCTTAAGTATCTACCAACTTATGTGTCTTCTGTCGACACACATCTATTTAAGATTAACAAATTACGTTTACTTAAAAACCAAGACTTTAATCCACTTGGATGATCAGCATTGTTTCCTTTAAAAGTGTTAAGATGAAGCAGTTTTTCTTTTCCCTCTTTTATGGTGTAAAGTGCAAGAAATTATACTGTAGAAGCTAACTACAACATTTGAAATGCCATCACTAATAATCACCATGGAAACTAGAGGTCTCTGATGTCACACTGCCCGTACCATTTTTGAAAGGGCAAATAGAACTGTCAATAGCCACAATTTAAAAAGCCATTTAGCACCCCCAACAGAATGATTTTTTTCTTTTGGCAATTTTGGCTAGGTGTCAGATCCAATCATGTTACTGTTTCACTTTGCCAACCTAATTGCTATGCAGTGAGACGAACAGCTATTCCCCAAGCTCCCCCTACTACCTTCGTCATAAACAGTATTCTATTTGTGTTCTTTCAAGTAGAAAATTAATATGGCCATTGGCCAAGAATTGTACAAGGCTGATAGATCACACAATGATGCTAAGAAATGAGGAAAATGAATGGTTGATGACAGAAATCACTGAAGTCAGAGACTGATAGCCATTTTGTTTACATCTGTTAAAATACCAAAGAAGAGGGGAG